AAAAGGTCCATTTATCACAAGATTTTTGGCCTCAGCAGACTTTTCATCTCTGGAGAAACATGGCAGGGAGAGATATAATGAAATGTCTTGTGTACAATCAAAATCATCTCTTCTACCCACAGGGTGGAGATTTGAGCCTGGTGCTACAGCCAAGGAAATCGTAGAAAAAGAGGCTGGAGCAAAGACTTCAAAGCTCAGTGTGAGTGTGTGTTGTGTTGGCAAGGTTTAATTTGAGTGAAGATGTGAACTCAGCAGGGAGTCCTCTGATGACTTAACCCAGCTTTTCATCTCTTCTACAGTGACACGGCCTTCCAGCGCTCAAAGGCCATATCCACATTCAGCTTTAAAGCAGTGACTTCATCTCACCGTCCATATTAAAACAGTGCTGCCCTTGTGGATTTCAGCAGCAAAGAACTGCTAGAGCTTGTTGCCTGACCTGGAAGAGGGCACGTGTGGCTGTGTGCAGATTGACTGACTGATAGATCTGCTGCTTGTGAACGTCAAGCACCTGCATTTTAGCAGCTGTCTGACCAACTGTATAGTAAATGACTTCACACTGCACATTATGAATCAGTGTGTCATTCTTTAAGAAGTGATTTTATATTTTTTGCTTGTTTTGGCATCTTTCACAGATTAACTGGTGTGTTCCTGTAGAGGTTTTATTTAGATTCGTTACCAGCCAGAACACACTCAGACACATACATGCACACAGGAAAATGAGCTCACAATGTGACAGTACAAACTCTTGCTTGTAGTTATTGCGGTTATTCTTGTTGTATCGACTGATTGGAAGATTTTACTACCCTTGTTTTTTAAATATGTGTTCATAAAAATATAACAGCGGTTGTCCAAATTTGCTGATTGAAGATCTGGTGTCAGTAGTCCAAAACCTTTGACGCTAGTTTAGATGAATTGCAAAGGAACAATAGTCATGTAAGAAAGAATGTTTTCACCAAACTCTATGCAGTCCTGCGAAAAACTAACTACACCTTATGATTCAATATCTTGCAGATCCTCGTTGAGCAGTAGTACCCTGAAATAATTGCTGGCCCACTCTTCTTTACATCATTGCTTCAGTTCTTTTACAAACATTTCTTTCTGCACAGGTCACACTACAGCATTTCAATTCTCAATTGAGTTGAGGTCTGAACTTTGATTAATATATTGTAAAACCTTGATTCTTTCCCTTTTCAACTGTGATGTATGTCTACGATCTGTGCTGCACGACCCAAATAAATGAGTGCAAGGTCACCAGGGCCTGTGGCTTCAAAACAAGCCCAAATCATCACTCTTCCACCACCATGCATTGCAGTTGGTATGAGGTGCTTGTGCTGACATACTGCGTTTGGTTTTCATCAAACACGGTGCTGTGCACCATAGCTAAACATCACTACTTTGGCCACATCTGTCCTAAGTCTTTCTAGAAGTCTGATTTATTCAGATGCTGCTGTGCAAAGCTAAAAGCTGTCAAAATTTCAGAGGTGAACACACTCACTGATAATGAATTAATGAAGAGCATTTGATTATTAGCACCTGGCTGTTACTTAGTTGCTATGGATACAGTAAGCATGAACTTGCATAACTATCATTAAATAAATAGATTTGTTGATCTTAAACATGGGCAGCACAAAACACAGGATGGTTTGAAGTCCCATTATAAAGCCTCAAGCTGAGTGTTTTCGACTTGTGATTGGCAAGCCATTAGCCAATGAGCCGGCATAGTTTACTGGGATAAGAGAACAAGGAAGCTGAGGGTCGTAGACTTCTATAAAACTGGAAGGCTTTCTGCAACCCACTGCTGGTCATTAGGAAGAATGCAAGTTTAAGGCTTTTCCATGTTGGCTTCAGTTTTCAGACCCATAAACTTCATCCATCTTCTATACCATCTATGATTTAAACTTGTATCATCTGGCATGTTATTGTAAACCTATTCAACAGTTGATTGGTCAAGCTTTGACTATAGGACACACTCATTCTTTTTTAGTTCCATTTTGGGTCTCGACCAACTCAGTGTGAGTGTGTAAAATATCTAACTCCTTATCTGTTTCGTGTCCTTCTACAATCTCAACTGGTCTCTGTCCTCTGACCTGACTGATGTTTGATTTTCTCAACTTCAGAGCAGGGTAGCTGAAAGACGACAAAGTGCCCACATTAAACGTCTTTTCTTTTTAAATGCATTTGGAAGACTTCTACCTTGTTAAAAAACTAAAACAGGGTAATCTTCAAATGTTAACCATGTGTGAATGTTCCTCCAGTTTTTTGTTTTTACTTGACCAGAGTTTGAATCATCATGTGTTGTTTTCCATCAACATAGTCAAAAGCATTTTAACCTGCTGTCAAGAAACACCCACTCAGGTAATCAACCTGCCATTACAGCCAGCGTGGGTGACTCTGACAGAACCTGCAATCAGAGAGCGCTCGCTCAGTCGTTACAGGCCCAACACAAATGGAAATATGCTTACAAAATTATTATTATTTAAACACCAGAATGATCCTGCTGCATACCAAGCAGAATTGTTAGAAAATGGCATCAAACAAGGACCATAGTTTAAAGCACCATTCAGATGGGACTGAGATTACACAGGTAAACATTAGAAAACATATTCCCTGTTGTTTGTGATTTAACTCATTCTGAGAACATTTTTAACCTCAGCAAAATTACAGAAAAGGGTACGTAACACTAAAACAAAAAAACAAACAAGTAAAAAAGTCTTTTTTCTCCTCCTACTGACAGTAATCTGTACATTCATGAATAGAGGCTGTACAGCGTGGGTAATTCGATAAATTTAGAGTGAATATTAGTTGTTTTCTGTAACTGTGACTTACTTGGTGTCATTTGTCCTCTGTTTTCCAGAGCAGTGCAGAATCTTTTTTATTTTTTCTGGCAAAGTCTAATCCTCTGGTATCCTTTGTAACCAGTGGTTTGCACCTTGTTGTAAACCCTCTGCATTTCCACTCATGAAGGTGTCTCTTGACAATGAGCCACCTGCAGTTGCGACAGCTGTTGACTGGGCTGTTTGTCGTGGAAGGTTTTATCTTAACCCAGGAAAGAATTCTGCAATCGTCCAATTCATTGGTCTTCCAGACCTTTTGATGTTGCTAAGCTCACCAGTGCATTGATCCTATCCAACACTGATTTGGCCACTCTTTTTGGTATACTTGGAATCAGTTCGACAAAGACTAACAAGGGAACAGGTTTTACCTCTCCAAACCGCTTGATCAAACCAACACTCATCTAGAATGTCATCTCTGCGTTTTGCAGTTGTCCTGCTGGTTTGTTCAGGTGGTGGCCTCCAGCGAGCACTGAAGCAGTTTGCAGCAGAATGTGAGGCGGCAGGAACAAGAATTGGGACCTCCAAATCTGAGGCCATGGTCCTCAGCTGAAAAAGGGTGGAGTGCCCACTCCGGGTCAGGAACAAGTTGCTGCCCCATGTGGAGGAGTTGAAATATCTCGGGGTCTTCTTCGCGAGTGAGGGGGGAGGGGAGATTAACAGACAGTTTGCAGCCACGCCTGCAGTGATGTGGATTGTGTTCCAGTCCGTCATGGTAGACAGAGCTGAGCGTAAAAGAGAAGCTCACCATTTACCGGTCCATCTACGACCCTACCCTCACCGATGGTCATGAGCTTATGTAGTGACTGAAAGTACGAGATGGCAGATATCAGCAGAAGCAAGCTTTCTTCAAAGGGTGGCTGGACTCTCCCTTAGAGAAAGTGGTGAGTTCACTCATCTGAGTAGGGCTCAGAATAGAGCCTCTCCACATCGAAAGGAGCCAGCCTAGTAGGATGCCTCTGGCTGTAGGTGTTCCTGGCACACCGAGGACCTCCTTCCAAACTAAGCTTGAGGTGGTGGCTGGTGAGAGGGAAGTCTGGGCCTCTCTGCTTAGGCTGCAGTCTCTGTGATCCATGCCCCGGATAAGCAGAAGAAATGGGTGGAGGCCTGGATGCATGAATAGTATTCTCCACTATCTCACAAGACTATTACAGGTTCTTGATTTCAAACTCATACAAAACATTAAACAGTTGCTCTTTAACAGGAAACTAAATAAAGGCTTCTGAGGCTTTATGGTGCCACTACATTCAGCACGAATTAGGCATTTTTTGGTAAGAAGATTAAACCAAAATAAATGCTCAGCTTTGTACAGCGTCCAAGACAAAACACACCGGAGACAAGAAATTCAACCAGGGAAAAGTTGGTGTTCTCTGTATTTATTCTTTTCTTTTTCTTCCTTTGCTGTGCTCTTTGTGAGGAGCATAAATATTTTACAGAGCGAGAACATCAGTCTGGTTATTTACAAGATAAAATAAATGACGTACAACTCACAATGTCGGCTTGTGTTTGGAGAGCTGGAGGAGGAGGAGTAAAGGGAAGGAGGAAAAAAAACCTACAGCCGTTTTACAGTTTGACTTTGAGTACCCCAACCTCGACTCTGACTTCACAAACAGAAACAAAAAAAAGGAGCTAATAGACTGTGGCGCGATGGCACGACTGAACACACGGGAGCAGCAACTGCAGAGGTCTAAACCAGTGAATTATTCCATAGAGAGAATAAAGCAGATAAATAAAGAGCGACACAAAATTCCAGTGTCTTCAGCAGTCATCAGTCCATTTCTGGTGACTTTCATGCTCCAAGAGGGGGGAAAAATTATTATGGCAGTAGTTCATTTAACAAGAAAGTTGCCTACAACGACCACTTTGAACACGGTGATAAACCTGCAATCGGAACCAGTGACTTTTCTGTCCTCTTCAGTTTGAGCTCAACAGGAAAAACTTGTGACTTGTGAACGTCAACCTTCAGACTTCCTGGCTGCCCCCTTTAGACAGTATAAGCAAGTACTGTTTGGATGACAGTGGAAGTGCTTGCGTCCTCCTGTTTTGTGCAGTTTCAATTTGGAAAATAATCTCAATATTAAAACACGAAGACTGCAACTGAGAACCTTTTTCATTTTCTGTTTAATTATTTTCACACTGCCCGGGAATACTTCAAATTCCTTATTTGGATTAATTAGCAGCTCAAAACAAAGATCTTAAAAGTATTGTCATGAAAGACATCAAAACAACGGCCTTTTTGATTTTCAGATGGTCACAAGATGTGAACTCCATCTGGTGTAAACCTGGCAGGTAAGCAGGAGCAGTTTCCATGGGAACAGGAACGTACACCAAGCTCTCTTGATTTACCTTTGAGATCATTCAACTTTTGATCTCCATGTTCCTTCCTGGCAAAACTTGAGGTGCCCAACACAAACACTGAATAATTCATTTATTTTAAAAAAGAAAGTTAGCTGTGATGTATCACCTGTGTTCAACATACCCACACACGAGCTCCACCACAGCTGGGGCACAGCCCAAACGCCAGGCCCGCTCATCAATACTCGCTCAGATCCTGACGTCGATCGATACGCCCACAGGTCTGGTGTCTAATAATTCAGGCAAACAAATGCGACTCGTTCAAACCCGGGTTAAACCGGATTGAGCCGTTCAAACCTTCAGGTAAAGTCAGAGATGAACCCGAAGACCGTCCGTGCCGAGTGTGCAGTTTTGAAAGGAGGAAACATCTGCTGTGTCAGGAGTAATGAAGGAGGCTGAGGAACTCATGCCTACAGGAGGTACAGAAATAACACTGAGGCCTGCATGGAAATTAAACCCCACCAATATTAAATCAATGCTGCTGATTCTCCATTAAGGAGAAAACTGAGGTTGTTTCCTCATGCCAGTGTCAAGCTTGCCAGCATGTTGTTTGTGTGTTTGTAGCTCTTCACTCACACACAAAGAAAATCGTGAATGGAGGAATACATTCCTATTTAGAGATTGAAAGGCACTCGTGCTAAACCGCGTAATGGACAGCACTAGTGGGTCCCAACTCACAAGCATTCAGCTGAAAACAGGAAATGATCCAACTCAAAAGAGCCCCAACCTGAACACCGAGTAACAAGACAAAGCTACTGTTTTTATTCTATTATTGTTTCAAAGTAGGTCAAAGGAAGTGTTCGCAACAAGTACCAAAGAAGACAGAAAGGCTCACCGCGAGTCTCCCTCTCAGGGTGGAAGAGAGCGAAAAAGAACGAGGAGGAGAAGGAGGAGGTTTGTGCGTATCGACTCAAGTGCAACTTAAGGGTATTCTCTGGGTTTGAGACTTTGAGTAAAGGGGGGTGGGGGGGGTGGGGGGGCTGTTCAGAGTCGTGTCATTGTGCCACAGAGCCAGAAACAGGTTCAACAAAGGGCTAACCTAATGTGTCTTCTCTCTAGCTCATGTTGCTGTTTGATTGGGTAGTGGAGTGGCGTGTTGTTGATAGGCTGACCCAGGGGTGTGAGAGAGGAAGTGCTTGGAGGAAGAGATCTGGAAGGTTGGGTTTCTTAGATGGGCAGCTGGAAAGTGATGTCCACTTGAGCTTCCTTTGCAAGGGAGACGATTTCAGAAAGCTTTACAACCTGTGGACAGAGGAGAGTGGGCTCATGAAATAAAATTTAACATAACATACTTTTACAATTGACCTTTATTTAACCAATAAACCCGTGTTTTAAAAAGGAGACCTTTTTTTAAGACAGTCAATACAGAACAGATGACACAAATGATACAGGTCTCTGAAGTCATGCAACTGTTTCAATGGGATCCCAATCCTCCTCCTGACTGTGCTTGAAAAGTCTGAAATTCAGGTGTTATGCAGGTATTCTGCTTTCAATTTAGGATTGAGACATAGTGCACTTCAGGTTTGACAGCTGACATCCCCATCACTCACAGCAGTCATGCTTCACTTCACATCATTACTACCAACTTAGCCGCTGACGTTCTACGTTTCTAAAACTTTTTCTAGAACTTTTACCGTGGGAGTGGGCCGCCCAAGTGTCATCTAGAAGACGCATATTTTTCTCTCGACACACGCACACCTCAAACTCTACTTGAACAGTCACAGAGCAGCTGCACATGTTAATCAGCTGATTGCACATGTGCAGTCTTGTTCTTGTGTTTTGTGCACTGAGACACACGCTGCAGTTTCATGCCATATCATGTCATACTTGTCTAGTAATTTTCTCCAAAATCATATTAATTCTAAAGTTTAAAAAATATTTTTTTAGTTATTTTGGCAGAACAAAAATACCAAACACGACAACTACTAATACAGGTGACTGATACACGTTTCTTTTCCTAATCTAACAACAAGGACTCTCCACTCACAACAATCTAAAGGGTTTTCATTCTTTCTCATCTTTCCTGAAAATCTTTTGTATTCTAACTGCAGAAGAACAGAACAAAGGCTTTCATTTCCTCGCTAACTCACATATCTAACAAAGCTGATCCTGCTCATCACTAATATCCTGTTTTTAGATCAAATACAACCATTTTCCACATATATAATCATTACATGAAAGCTGGAATCAGTCCACTTTTAAGCAATTAATCAAGCAGCTTAATTGGATGTGAAAAGTGTTTAGAACAGAGTAAGATTTAATAAAATGTCATCAAACTGCCTCCCGGCACACCTGCTCCCCAACCCTGTTCTCACATACGCTTTCACACTGTTGCTGCTTTCTGGTTACTTTGTGCTATAAATGTAAAGTGACGTTTTTCCTCACATTGGATCTCTCACACACTCACACACACACACACACACACACACCCTCCACCTCCTCACATACAGCGACACATCTAAAGGCAGGTACATGTCAGCTCTGCTCTCCCCATTCATGACGTGAGCATTTGAGTTGAACGTGGGTCTTTGTGCGTACCATTTTTGCAGCTTCGTCCAGGTCGTCGCAGGCCAGAATTTTCAGCGGACTGGCAGCAATCAGAGCTTTGGCGTCGTCCACTCTTGTTCCTAAGAACAAAAAAAAAAAAAAAAAAAAAAAAAAAAAAAAAAAAAAAAAAACCACACATGAAAAAAAGTCAGTTTTTCAAAACAGCAGTACCTTTGGCCACCCTACAGCTGTGTCACTGTCAGAACTGAGAGTTTCTTGATACGGCAAACATTCATTTGGATGCTGTTGAATGATTTTGAACCTCGAGGAAGCTAATAACCTCCTTGTGGTTTTCTGTGGATACCTGTGCCTCCTGTACTGTCCACCCTCAGACCACAGTTTCCATTTGCACTCGGGAAAAACAAAGCTGAATGTCTAAAAGGTCTTTCCAGAAGTTTGGAGAGCTGATGAAGTTTCTTTGATGAAAAAGAAAATGTTCGCCGGACCAAAGTGAAAACTCAATTTCCCTAAAACTGCCCTATAACCTCCCAGCAGACAGTTTTTATTAAAGCTGCTGTCACACAGCAAGCCGTTGCCTCCTCCTTTGTTTGGTGGATGCCTTCACACTTCATGGTTCAACTTTTTTCAGCTTGCCTCTGTGGCTTGGTGTGCAGCCATGGCAACCACAGATACAACCATAGGGGAAAAATGGTAACGGAGGCTTATTTTACAAATCAATGGAGATCAACAACATCTGCTTTAATGCCTGATTATACAGACAGACCTCACAACCCAGAAAAGAATTACAAACAGAGCAAAGCAGACACATTACAGAATTAGCCACTGACACAAATACACAAACCCATGAATCCAGGATAAACCAGGAAGCAGTCTTAGACACGAAAGAGCGTGTATAAACATACCAAAGTAACTTGTCAGTGTGTAGACACACACACACAGTATATTTATTATTTTTTTAAAAAAAAACATTAAAATTTTAAAAGAGAGCATGTTCCTGTTTTGAAAGGAGAACGTGGTCCAGTCAAGTTTCCAGAGTCGAATTAGGAGCTGTGACCCATCTGATGTATCCGAGTCCGGCCCCGATTAACAAGTCATTTGGTCACACGCACATTTGTGGATTGGCTCACAGGAAAAGCGTGTTTGTGCTGATGTAGAGCCTTACAGAGGTGCTACTTGTAGCTCTGACTTAAAATCCATGAAGCATTTGAGTTTCAAGCTCATCAGTGTGATGCTTAAAGTTTATCAAAGTTAAAAACACCGCAGATATGTTTAAGAGGTTACAAGACAGAATTTAATAGCTTTGGAAAGTTATTCCAACTACTTTCTTTTACCCTTTACCACTAACTTTAGAAGATAAAAGCAGATGAAGCATACATGAAGGAATTCTTGCCAAATGAATCAAATGCATCTGCTGCAGTCCATCTTACCCTGTACTGCAGGGTGTTAAAATTCAAATAGTCTTCAGAGTTTTAGACTAACAGCAGAGTATTTAGTTTCAGGTGACTGAATGACTGAGTACTCTGAAGCCTTACAGTATCAACCGCACTCAGTCAATTAACTTCATTTTGAAGGTAGAAAAACAAACCACAGTATTTAATCACATCGCTATAGGTAACCAACAAAATCTCAGTTACATTCAACCATGTCCAAAAACTTTGTGTGTGAAAATACTCCCTGAAGAAAATATAAAATACACAAAGTTTCTGCTATGGTCAATATTAATGAGCAATTTTTTAATTGTGCAAGTATGTTAAGTATGTCCAAACCTCTAAAGAAGCACACATAACTACAAAGGAACTGAAAACATCTGCTGCAAACCATGAACTAGGATGTACTCTGCTAAAGAAGGCAACTTCCTCTGTTGTTGAACCTTTCACCCATATCTTATTTTCTCTTTGAAACAGATTTTATACAAAGTGACCTTAAAGCAGCCCAAGTCCATCTCTGTTCAGGTGACTCCAACAAGGAGTCATCATCCAAAGCCTTGTGACACTGCTGATCATAACATCCTATAAAAAATAAAAAAAAATACAGCATGCAAGGAGCAGCCAATCAAAAGAAAAGGAGGGTGGCATTAACTTTTTAACCTTTGAAAGCCAATCAGCAGTAACAATTGAAGCTTTTCAGAACTGAGTCATTTCTGTCATATTTCAGGCTTATAAAACAAAATGAATGGGTGTGCATCAGAAGTTAGCAAGGGCCTGGGTCTCTGACTATGCAGCTACCCAGAAACTATTATAATGGTGATCAAACCATGTCTTTGACATATACTGAGTCAAAACTCAACATGCAAAGCTTCCCTAAAATAAAAAATAAAAAAATAACACCAAAACTACCTGCCCTGTTCGTCACCAGTGCATTTACACTTGCAGACAAGACCACAAAGGTGCTAATTGAGATATAAGCCAGAAGTACCTAATGACTCCAATCCAACTTCAGAAGCGCTTCTACATCTTAGATTATAAAATGTGTAAAGAATAACTTTTAAAAAACTGATTAAACATGTAAACAGAAGGCAGCGCTCCTGTTTAATTCACGTAACGTGTCTAAAGCTGCAGTGCAGTTACAGTCTTGGCGCTGGAACGCAAACCTCAGCAGCAGCATTTTGAGGTGACATCCTCTCGTTTCCAAAATAGAAAACAGGAGCAGAAAATGTTACCCTGAGGAAAACTGAGAAATGTCAGCTCTGTTTAGGCTCCAAATACAAGCATGCACCATTTCTTTGTGCTTGCAAATTTCACTGCCTTGCACTGCCGAATGAATAAAGATGAGAAAACCAAATTGGCAGAGGAATTTCACCCAGTGAGGGATTCAGCTCTCTGGAAGGCCACAAAGGACCAGCAAGTCTTTGTATTCAACACTTGGCCTCCTTTGATAATATAGAGTATGAATGTACATATGCATATATCACACGATATCACAATAATTCACACCTCATTTGTGTTTGTCGTTTTCTGCGCGTTTCCAGGAGCCAGACTTTGAAGTAGGAAGCATCAAATGAAACAGACACGAGTTGTCCCCCCCCTCAGCACTGCCAGCTGCTGCCAGTTAACCCGCCTGACAAGGTGGGGGAGAGTGTGTGTTTCCACTGGAGGGGGAGCCTGTGGCTGTGGTTGATCCAGAACATTACAACACTGTGTTTGGGCCCAAACCCCTGTCTATTTCCATTTCCTTTTAAAACAAGGTTTAGGCTGTTGGTCAGGTTGGTAATGAAATCTGCGTTACAAATATCTGTACTCGTTTTCAATCTGAGATACTGTGCTGGAGAGTTGTCGGGATTTCCTTGCATTCCATAGCTCACTAAGATCAGACATCCCTGAATTCAGCAAGATCTTCTCATGGAGGGATCCTGAGGGGCTCCTAGTGCAGATGAGATATATATAATCTCTGATCCTGATCTCTGATCCTTTTCCCAAATCACTTCAACTGGCTGCTACCAGATGTCTGAGGTCGTCATCCTTTCGTTCAACATTCAGAAGGAGGGAGGCATCAATCCCCCATCAAATTCATGGGAAATTATTTAACAACAGTAAAAATTCAAATAAGGATAAAGTCAAAGCTTCAATTTAACAAGTTAATGAATACAATGCCACATTTTAAATCCTTTTAAGAAAAAAAAAAAAAATAGCAGTTTGTTCCTCACCTTGTAACCGCACAACGATGGGTATCTTGAGGTCCAAGTCTCTTACAGCCATGATGATACCCTGGGCGATGACGTCACACCTCATAATTCCTCCGAAGATATTGACCAGGATAGCCTGAACCTGAGGAAAAAAAGAAAAAAACAACTTCATCAAAAACTGAATGTTGAAGAGCTCAGAGGGGTGAGCTACATCGGGCTTCAACAGTTTCCTGTTTAAAACCATGAACAGCCTTTGGAAGCTGGCATCTTCTTACCCTCCTGTCAGAGGTGATGAGTTTGAAGGCCTCCGTCACCTGATGAGCTGTGGCTCCTCCTCCTACATCCAGGAAGTTGGCTGGTGTGCCGCCATGGAGCTTGATGATGTCCATGGTAGCCATGGCCAGACCTGCTCCATTTACTAAAACAGACAAAGCCACTGGTCAAATGATTCAGGCAGACGATTTTCTTCTTTTGCACTGAATATGTACTGGGGAAAAAAAACCCCAAAACACTCATTGATAATAAGACTGACATTAAATGGAAACGCATTACATTTAAATCACAACTAAAAGAGCTCCTACTACGACAGTGCTGTCTTTACACTCAAAGTCTGGTCTGATAGTCGTTATAAAAAGCCAATTGGTGATAGGCTGGTAGGTTTTAATGGCTGATACTGATGCACCACTTTGAACTAAAGCAGCTCAGGTGTGTACTTCTAGGTCTGAAACTAACTGTACTTCTTCCTTATGTTATGTGAAAGTGGTTGGAAATGGTTTAATATCCATTTTGAAATCTTTAAAATGATGACAAAACATTACAGACTCTCACTAAAAATAGTTTTTACACATGGAAACAAGACTTGGGTGCCACTGTGCTGTAAAATACCACCCCATTGTATTTATGAGTCCCTCGCACTTTGAGCCAGTAGAAAGTGTTAGAGCCAACAACAAGCTACTGAGTTTGGATATTTTTAAAGACATAAGAAAGAGAAAAAAAACACAGTGTATGATCTGCTTTTCATTGTTAAGAGACAGAATTGTGTCAGATAAGCTAGCACAGCACTGGACACAACACAGCAGCTCAGCTGGACCTGTGAACTGTTTCTGAGACATTGTTTAAAGTAAGTCAAGAAAAACAAACAGTTCCACTAAAAGGCCACAAGGTGTCTTATTTGGTGGCTTTATGTTGTGGGATGCCGTGTATGGAGTTGAGGTGGCTAGAAAGTTGAGGGAGAAAAAGACAGTAAACAGGAGACTGACAGACTGCAGGTTATCGCAGACAAATTAGCAAGCTCCTTTTTTTAATCTATAGATATTCATATCTTGTCCAGTTTGGTCATATTAATATCTCTGGGTTACCATTATAACCTATAACATTCATTTTCTGTCTGGCATAACCGAGCATTATGGGAAATGCAGTACGTAATCAGGATTACAACTGAGAACATATCTCAAAATGACCACCAAATAGGTTCAAAAGCTATAATAAACACAACTACTAAATAGCTTTTCTGACATTTCGCTTGGACTGACCCAGACAGCCGATGGTTCCATCAAGACCGATATAGTTGAGGTCAGCCGTGGCGGCCTGCCGGTCCCGCGGGTCCTCTTGAGTCCAGTCCCGCAGTTCAAACACTTTCTGCTGGCGGTACGCTGCGTTGGAGTCAAAGTTGATCTTGGCATCCATGCACATTACTGTTGACAAGGAGACACATAAGATTTTGACATTAGAAGAAGATCAATGTCAGCTCATCTCTCCATCTGCCAGAGAGCCATGCCATGGGAGGGGGGGGGTGTCACAGAGTGTTTCCAGCACTGGCACCAGGAATGTAAATGTGCAGCTGAGTTCTTCTTTTTGTAAATGCATATCACCTCAGAAATGATCAAATAATTGAATATGTTGAGGAAAGAGTTTTGCTTATTAAAGAATAATTCAGGAGGACAACTTATTTCTGGCTACACTTTGCTAAAATGTCTGCCTTTGATTATGAGTACAAGGAAAAAGAAACACTGAGCTTCACTCAAAGTCATACCTGAACAGTAACCGCACGACAGAAGAACATTTCTAACATGTCTGTAATCAGCTGGCTACAGTGAAGGAAGCTTTTATATATAATATA